CCTTCCTTCCTTCCTCCCTTCCTTCTTCCCTTACTCCCTTCCCTTCCACCCCCTTTCCTTCCACCCACTTTCCTTTTCTTTTTTCTCTGCCCCCCAATTTGTCTTGGCCTGTAAGCTTTCTCCTGAGAAATCTGGTCTAATAGAGGTATCCTTAGATGTGATTTGTATGTAATTTGATACTTTTGTCTTGTTTTTAGAATTTTCTTTATCTTGGATTTCTGATAGTGGGACTAGACTATGCCTCAGAGACAATCTATTTGTGTCAAATCTGTTGTATTAGGAATCTCTTGGATTTGTATGTCTGTATCTTTCCCATTTGGGAAATTATCATGGATTATTTTATTTTGTTTTTGAGACAAGGTCTTGCTATGCAGTTCAGGCTGACCTTGAACTCATTATGTAGCTGAAGCTGGCCTCAAACTTGCAGTGGTCCTCCTGCCTCAGCCTCCTGAGTGCTGGGATTACAGGGCTGCACCACCATACCTGGTGCATGGATTATTTTTTAAAGTAGGTTTTCTATTTTTTTTCCTTTTCTCCCTTAAGAAAACTCATAATACAAATATTTTACACTTAATGATGACCTGTAAGTCTAATAGTCTTTCTTCCTTTTCCATTAAAATTTTTTTCTTTGACTGGGATATTTCAAAATACCTGTCTTCAAGTTCAGAAATTCATTCTTATGTTTGATCTAGGCTTTTGACTGTTTATTTCACTTGAAATAAACATTGAGCTTTTTACCTCCAAGATTTCTGTTTGTGTGTGTTTTTAAAAAATATAATCTCTATTTCTTTGCTGAATCTCTCATTGGGATAATGAATTGTTTTTCTGTTTCATTGAATTGTTTGTATTTTCTTGCATTTCATTGACTTTCCTTAGAATCATTATTTTGAATTTTTTCAGTCATTTGCCCCTTTCCTTTACTTTGGGATCTGTTGATAGAGGGTTATTGTGTTACTTTGGGGGCCTCATGTTACCTTGCCTTTTTCTGTACAGGGACCCTCTTGAGGATGATTAAAGTACAGGCTCAGATATCAGGAGAAGGGACGTGTAGGGGGGTGGACAGGGCTTGAGGATCCCCCACACCATCACCAGGAAGCTCTGGGAAGCCACAGGACCCAAAGCAAAACAAGGTGAGGACAGAGGCTCAAGTCTGTGCTAACAAAGACATTTCAGAAGGACATTGTGGGGAGGAGGGATGGAGGACTGGTGCTCTGGGAGTAACCCATGGACTCAAGGGCAAGAGATAATGGTGAGATCCTGGAGTGGACTAGCCCCCAGGAGTCTTCTGATTCGTGCTCCAGTTCCTCAGGGAACCCCTGTGCCCTCCCTGGTGGCACCTACCTCTGCTTGATCACTTAGCTGGGATCAGGGGGGTGGCTCTGTTAAAGAAAGGCAGGCAGTTTCTGTTGAACTAAAATCAGCCTGACTCCTGACCCTGTACCATGAGGGCAGACTAGACACCTCCCTACACTGGAGGACAGTTTGCCTCTTCTGGGTCCTTAATGGCTTTTAAAGATGACATCCTGGGACAATCACCCTCTGGATATGACCCCACTTGCTACAGGCTCTATGGAAATATTACCCCTTCCCCATGCCTTAAAAAAACAATCTTGAATTAAGGGTCATTGGAGGACAGGGGGAATGGAGCCTCCCTTGAGTTGGACAACAAATTAATGGCACTTGGGATTACACTCTATCTTTTTAATCCCCAAATCAGACTGTGCATGTGGGAGTTTATGTTGTATCTCAAGAGCTCCCTCGGCTAAATAGGGAACTAAACAGACTTGTGCTGGAGGCTCAGAACAGTATCACACCAGAGCTGGCAAGAAGCATGGTGGCATCTACACCCTAGGACTTGCAAATCCCTCCTTCTTCCACACCCAGAAGGCTTGCACTCTGGCTGGGAGCTTTATTGTGAAGCTGGTGACAGAGACAAGTGGAGGAAGGGGCACAGCTGCCTGTTCTGCTCTGGTAGGACAGGCTTTCAGTGATGCTGGCCTCTCACAGCACTGTCCTGGGATGCCACATTCCCAGAAACCCTCCCTGCAGTGTGCAGGGCAGACCAGTAGCTGAAGGCCCAGCTCCAGGTCAGTGGAATGGTCCCTGTGTGACTCTCAATTTCCCCTCCCTCTGAGAGGGTCTTGGGATGGAGGGTCTTGTGGCAGTAGGAGTTCCTCTAGTTCCAGGGCAGCCCTGAAGTTGCAAATCAGGCCTGAAGCATCCAATGTCCCTAAAAAGAGCACCCTCAACTCTTTCCTTTTCTTTTTTTTTGGTACCGGGGATCGAACTTGGATCCTTGCGCTTGTGAGGCAGGCGCTGGAACCACTGAGCTAAATCCCCGGTCCCCAACTCTTTCCTTTTCATTGTAAACATTCAGATTATTTTTAATGCCCAAGTGCAAAGCAATAGTTCACTTGTGTGTGACTCAAGCACCAGCCACGTGGCACTCCTTACAGGACCCTGTGAGTTTTCTCACTTCTCTACCTTAGACAACCCACTTGAAAGCAGGTCAAGACCTCTGTGTTTCCCCAGAGGATAATGTCTGGTGGATATTAAAGAATATGCTAAGGTTGGACCAGGGTGGGATGGCTAAGGTGGGTACTAGGCCCTCTGAACTCCAAGCATCACATCTCTCTCATGCCACCTGCTCCCTTGGGCTTGGTGTGCTACAGGGAAACAGGGATTGGGTTAGAATCACTTGGAGAGATTTTAAAAGATGCCCAAGGTCCACCCCCATGAATTTGAATTCCTCATTGATCTTGAGAAGTGAGACTATGCTAGTAGAACAGGCATCACTAGACCCAGTGTCTGTGACTATGAACAAGCGATACAAGTTACTCTATTTTTGGAGGTGAAAGACTGTGATAGAGACCTCAGGGCCCACTGTAAGTAGCAAGTCCTTCAGACAGCAAATGCAAAAGAGAGGTTTTTAGGAGAAATGTGGGTTTCAGGAGACAGGGGGAAGGGTGCTGGTGCTGGAATCCCAGGTGGCTGCAGGGCAAGGTGCCCTGTGCTAGAGAGGGGGCAAGACTATAGTCAGACCCATATGTTCCAACACTGCACCAGGCAGGAGTCAGGGCATAGAGATCAGGAAAAATAGGGACCTGAAGCTTGGGCCAAAAAAAGCTAGACTCAAACAGTCTAGGACACAGACTTCAAGGTGTCTACTGCAAGCCATCTGATTATGGAGGAAAAGTCTGGCTTTCCTCAATGTTCAAAGATCAAAGGTGCTCAATGATTATAGGTGCTTTTTCCTGGAATGGGTCCTCTCCACCTCAAACAGTCCAGTGCACCACCTAGAACCAGGACAGGCACTGGACATAGGTTCTGGGAGGCAGGCAGTCAGCAGAAGAAGGGCCTAGAAATCAGGGTCCTGGAGCAAATGGGAGTGGGGTGGGGACTAATGAACAATGCCACAGGTCAGAAAGAAGCTCTGCAGTGTCCTTGAAGATTGAGTAGGAACATGAGGGAGAAGATTAAACAAAGTTAGCAGGTTTCTTTCTTTCTCTCTCAAAAAGTGAGTCAAGGTTTTGCTGAGGGACAGAAGCAGACCAGAGAACTTGGGACAAAGAGTTGCGTGGTCTCTCATATCTTTCTGCAGGTTAGGCTGATTCTAAGTCCCCTAGAGTCTGTACAATAGGCTCTACATGCTCATATCTCATTATAAAGAGCTTGACTCTTCTTTGGGGACCATGATTTCATACCATCTAGCAACTGTTTCACCCTCTGTTTTTCCCTGAGCTGCTCATCTGTTGCATATGTGAGGCCCACCCCTGGGACTGCAGAGGATTTACCATGGGCTTACACCCATGGGCTGACAGGTTTAGAGCAATTCCCTGCAGTTAGAGTTACAGACTGGGCAGTGGGGATCAGGGGTGGGTAGGGATATGACAGGAGATGGGTAGGCCTATCTATTTCTTCTCCTAGGTGGTGTAGAGAAGATCCAAATAAATGAAGCCATCACTCTTTGATGGCTATTACATTTGAACCCCAAGGCATAAACTATTTCACTTTCTCTGCAGACTCCACAAAACTTTTCCTAAAATCATAGCCCTACACCAAAAATCATCCCTTCATTGAGTTCTATGGTGCTGGGGATCTCAAATCTGAGCATGTATCAGAATCATCTGGAGTGCTACCCTTAGAATTTAGTAGGTCTGGGCTGGGACCTGAAGGTTTGCATTCCTAACAAATTCCTAGGTCACACTAATGCTGCCAGTTTGGGCACGCTTTTGAGAACCACAGCTACTAACACATACTCTCTACTTTAAAATTTTATGATTTCAATTTTGCTGAGAAATATTTCAGAATTATTTTCTGCATGTCAGTCTATCTTTCCAGCCAGATCTCAATTCCTTTGGGGCAGGGATTGTATGTTATCTATTTTCTTACTTCTCAATTAGGATTGCTGAATACACAGTAGATTAAATACTTATATAGTGGGAAGAACTTCAGAGAACTTGATTTTTTCAAGCAGACAGGGGCCAACTATGGTTAAGTTTAGGATTCTCACATTTTGCAAAAGATCGTCTACTTTTCTCTGAAATTCACATTCACAGAAAAAATTCATTTGCTTCACCAATAACCTAATTACATTAAAGACAAACTCCAGGATGCACATTGAGGCCATACTCTTAAGTGAAATAAACAAGACACACATGTGTAAATACCGAATAGTTTCTCTAGTGTGAGAAACTGAAAGTGTAAATAAGGACTAAAAGGTATAATAGATAATGTGATATAGGAAGAAAAGGGGCAGAGGGGAAGGGGGAGGGGTAGGGGAAAGGAAAGAAAGGAATGGAATATGAGAAAATAAAAAATGGAAACAAAGTCTTTGTAAATAGGAAGGGATGGAGGGGTTGAAGGGAGGGCAGGGGAATGGGGAAAAATAAGAACCAAGAGAGATTATGTAAAGGTGCAAATTTCCAATGATGAATGTCATTATATTGTATACCTAAAATGTACTAATAAATTAAAAAAAAAGAAAACTCCAGTCTTGATTTAGGAAAAAAAAAGAATTCCTTCATCCTTCCAAACAAGGTACAGTACAACTGAACAGCAATTCGTATTCCTGAAAAACACAACTGCATCTTATATTGCTCACTATTCTTTAAGTATAATTCAGATATTAAGGAAAATAGCTGCTAATCACATTAACACATTACAGAAATCAAAATTAACTTACCATACAAAATAAATTAAGACATTAAATATTAACCTTCTCAGTGCAACATATACAGAAGTCAGAATAATGAGTTCTGAAAAAAAGCATCAGGTTTGTTCTAATAAAGGTAATGAATAGTTGAACACTTTGGTAAGTTATTACAGTAGGAAGAGGGGCTACTTTTCAGTACTCTGTGTGTGTGTGTGCGTGTGCATGCACACGTGGGAGCACATGTATACCACTAAGTCTTTCAAAATGTCAGGTGAGATCAATGGCTAGAGAGAAGTCTTATGTTAAAACACTGAAAAACCAAACTTGTGTTGATTTTGTGAAGTACCCTGGTCCTGGGATTTTGAATCATCCTTCTCTTGTCTGGGTATGCTGGGAGAGCTGAAAGCCCAGAACCTACTGAGAAGTTGGGGCCTCCTGTGTAGTGTTAGAGCATCATTGGTCTACTCTTGCCAAATTTCCTGGAAAAACAAGAGTAGCTCATATGCCTCGGGAAACTGGCTTGGAGACACCAGGCAGTTTTCTATACCTGTAAAGAACATTTCTTCCCAAGAAGTTCTAGAACCACAAATCCTCTTCCTTCATCAATGTACATGGGTGACTGTCAATCATTCCTCACTCCTCCTTACTCAGCAGAAAGGATATTAGGGTCACCGTGCCTACCACTTCTGCTGAGACACATGATCAACTCACCCCTTGCTTGGTTCACATGTATCTAGATGGGTCTTATCTTCCAGTTTGGATTTGGGTGCTGTATATCAATCTATGTAGAAAGTTTCTTGCCAGTGTGTTTAGTGTCACAGCCTGTAGGGCAATGGGGGAAATTCAGGCCCCATAAAGGGTTTGGAGGTCTTTATAAAAAGTCATTTTTAAAATGGGGTCTTTTCTGAGACACTTATATTCTGGAAATAATTATGTTCCCCACTGCCAGATGTGTGGCTGCTTAGCAGGTCAGGCCTCCCTAATCATAGGAAACATCTGGCTATCTGAAGGTCAAGGAAACACAGGGATTTTGCAGAGATGACTTATAAGATGCACTTTAAGCCTAAAAAGAGCATTTTAAAAATAGCTATTCAAAGACCAACCCCTGTCAATAAATGGGACAGGGATCTAGTGCTTATCTTCATATGATTTCCAAAAAGAGAAATTACCAAAAAAGTAAGGCTATTATATCCTTGGGCATGGATAATGGTCCAACCAAGCTCACCACAACCCAAACTCAGAGCTGTTGGTTTACAAAGGGCTGATCTGGAAGGTACTTCTGAGGGGCACACACTTGAGTTCAGTGGATGTACAGACACAAGGAAGGGGGCACCAGTGGCTATAACCAGCTGGATCCTAGAACCAGAGAATTAACAGACAATAAATCTGAGATCCTCATAGGGAACCTTTGCTTCTACCATCTGTCCATCTCCATTTTCTTGTACCTCTGCAAAGTCTCTTGGATACCAATTACAGATAACATTTTTAGGTGGCCCCTGATCTTCCATCCATGAGGTGAAGAAAGCCCTGCAACACATTTTCACATCAATTCATACTCTTTAATAGCAATCAGACCTCTAGGAGTCTCAAACTACAAAAAAGACTGTTTTAAAGAAAAAAAAGTGAACTCAAGTTAAAAACAAGTGATGCTCATCCACTTTTACTGGTCTCTCTGAGCCAGAATCTGAGACTTTAGGGGGCTCTGATAAGAAAGTTGAGTGCATACTAGGTTAAAACATGGGTCAATTGATTGGTGTCTTTTTTTTTTTTTTTTTACCAGGGATTGAACTCAGATCCTTGAGCTTGCATAGCAGGCTGCGAAACCACTGAGCTAAATCCCTGGCCCAATTGATTGGTGTCTTAGTAGGAGGCTTTAGCCAAGCCTTGGCTCATGTATCTGTCACTACAGGATTGACCCAAGGTATCTAAATGTGGACCTATTTTCTTTAATAGTTTAAAAAACTGGAGCCATGTCAGCTGCATTGTTAGGGGCTGGCTCTAAACAGACCCAATTTTTGCATGTAATGCTTCTGGTGTGGCATCATTAAATAAGTGCCAAAGTTAAGCCTCAGGTGAGGTCATGGCCTTGACTGTAAAAATCAGAAATTCATAGAAATAGACTAGGGAAGAAGAATTAGGGGTATGACAGAATTTTCCAGTGAAAGTTAACATGATATGTCTAAGATTCTTTCAAGGCATGATAAGTTAAATGCAGTGAAGGGCTAAAAGGTGGAAATCTTTCACTTCTCAAATATTAGAGAGCAGTTTCTTCACATGAGTATTTTATATATTTCATTGTCATTCTGTTTCCAACTTTTAATGAAAGTTCTGAAGGATGAACTCCAAGCTGTTCATTTGAAAGGACCCACTGCTTTCCACAGGCTAGCCCAGCAGGTCAGAATGTTCTCAAGTGCTCAGGAGAACAATTTCTACTTCTCTGGAGGGGAAAGTGAAAGGCTTGTTAGTGTTTTTGTTCACAAAACTGGCATTCTGAATAGAAAGGAAAAAAATCCCACTGGAAGATTTCTCTTAATGCTTAAAAATAAATAGGAAAGTTAAATTTCTTCTTTAAAAATAAAGCAACAAACCAACCAAGCAACAAAATGGAAAATAAAGGATTGGTCCCCTTTCATGGATTTGGCCTGAAATGCCCATGGGTGGCTGCTAATGCCCAAGCTGGGCTCACGAGGAAGTTAATCCATTTAGTTACCAAGCAGTAGAATATGTTTTGTGTTTACTTATGTCACACATGCCTCTTGTCCTCTCTCCCCAGCAGTGGGGCCAGATCCCTGCTGCTGGAGTTGCTAAATTTTCTAGCAGAATGCATCAGGGCATTTACCTGCTTTGTGTTTTTGATGGCATGACCTCTGAGCTCTGATCTTGGCTCCTATCAGAATAATCCTTTGGTTCCATTTCCACAGCCCCTGGTCTTACCTGTCTCAGAGGCCTGTTGTTTCTAATCAGTTAACTTTTCAGCCAGCAACACATACATCATTAATGTATAAGTCTGAAAGGGTGTGTGCTTTTTACACTGACTTAAAAGATTAGAAATAAAACCATTATCCATCTCATAAATAAGAAATTGTTTTTGAGGGTGGCAACAACTTAGGAAGGTCTTCAGTATCATGTGTTCATGGAGGTTGAGAGTCTGGTGGTCAGAAGACGTAAGACTCAATGACTTCATGTAACAATAAGCCATTTCTCCTTTGCTTCTGACACCAATAAACAGATGAGACAAAACAGCAACAAATATAGAATCTCTGGTGTTAGGCAGGATTCTGTTGTGGGGAGGTGGCCCATCAAGAAGAAATACAGCCTGGATCTATGGCTGGCAGGAAACAATGGCACACACCCGGACTCAGATACCACCTGACACACACAACTGACGTAGGTAAACAAGAAGGCCACCCCTTTGCAATTCTTGTTCCACGAGTCTTTAAATTGTGGTCCACTGACGTCTTCTGTATAACACACCAAATAACCCCAAGTGGACAGAGTTCTGACAAAGTTGTGAAAGCCCACTCAAAACAAAATGCTGGCGATTTTGTGAGGTGAGGATGGGCAACCGAGGAAAGGTCTGCTGGCCCATCCTGGGCATCCCTGGTGGTGCTGTCCTAGGGAAGGCCTTTCTTCATTGGTTGCCACAGTCTACTTGGCCAAATTCTGATTCTGGCTCTTCAGACCACTGGCAGGAAAGAAAAACAAGTTAGGCATTGTGGGTTAGACTCCTGCCATACTGGGAAAAAGAGCTTGAGACAAAAGAGTTGGAGATGGCATCAGTCAATGTCACCAGGTTCTCTTGGACAGTTACACCCAAGTTCCAATTCTGCAGGTTCAACCTCAGGGGCAGAAACTTCCGAAATTGTACTTCAGTGCCAGAAGACATCAGAGGGCTGATGAAAAGTGAAATGGGTTGTAGCAGAGAAGGGGATAGGGATAGTGGTTGCACCCTGCTGTAGCCAGGTGTCAAACTAGCTTGTAGCTGAGTCCCCTGCAAAGGGTAGCTTGGTGGGCAGCTCAGGAGCTGGTCCAGGGCCTTGTACTAACATGGCTTCCCCTAAGGCTATTACAAGAATGGACCCATTATTTTTCAGTAGGTGAGCCCTGAGGGGCTCCTCTGTGGCTTGCATGGTAAGGCAGCATAGACAGTCCTCAGCTCCTGAGTCCAGCTCAGCCTGGACATCTGCCTGCCCTGATACTTCCTGTAGTTCTTCTAGAGGTGAGGAGGGGAGAGTGGCCCAGGGGTGAATCACATCTCTAGTAGGACTCATGAGTGAGCATCCCCAGTTCACCCATCCATTAGGCCCAGCAGGCCTGCCTGGTAGTCCATGAGGCTATAGTGGTATGCATCATCTCAGGGAGAGGGGTTCAGCCTTGGTGGTCATCTCGGCAAGGTCAGACCCATTCCCAGCTCAAAGTTAACTTCTCAGAATGGGGCTAGAAGTGACATTAACAAAAAACTCTACCCAAGTGATTCTGCTGAGATTCAGATAAATGCTAAAAATCCTGCTCACATTTTGTTAAAAGATTTAAACACTTTTCTATTGGTGATAAAAAAATAAAAATACTTTCCTCTGTTAGCTCTACAGAGGCTCCTTCAAAGTAGCAAAAGGGAAATGTGAGTGGGGCCTTCTGAGATCCTGTTTCTTACCCTCATTTTCCTATCAACTCGTAGTGGGATCTGAGCAAGCCTTCAGGAAACTGTTTACCCACACCACTCATGAATTAGCCTCCTCTTAAGCCCTATATAAGGATTAATGGATGCATGTCCTAAGAGCTGTGGGGCTCCTAAATCTAAGTAGTGCTCTTGTACAATTACTGAATTGAAACGAATAAGCAAATGGTGCTGTTAGACCTCCAGCTCCTTCCAAGCCAGACTGCTATGATAATTAATGAATAGGGGTGTCTGGCCCCCCAGTCACATGTCTCCCCACCCTGTCCATGCAACCTGGAGTTTCTGGAATGCCAGCTACTTCCTAGAGAAGGACAATCGAGGTAGATTAGCCTTTGGAGATTGTCTCCTGATCCTGTACTTCCTCAAAAGGAAATTTAAGTTATGATGGGCTCTCTTGGACAAAAGTATATCCCAGGGTAACTTGTTGATATGGGTGAAATTTTTCAGGATCTGTTTAGATACAGGAATTATTCAACTCCAGGGGCCAAGAGCCAATGATGCCAGTTTGGGCCCACATCCAGATGTCCACCTTCTTCATGGATGTTGGTGAAATTCATAAACCAATGTTAAACTTAATGAAAATCACTGGATCTAAAAGTTTGGAGGGTTCTTAGAGACCTTTTGTAGACCAAACTCCTCCACTGACCAATGGAAAGGGGAACATGTCTTTCTTCAGAGGAAGATAGTGAATATCTGTTATGTGTCTACAATTTGGTATACACTACACCAGTGGTGGCAAACCTATGGCACGCGATGTGCTGCAAAGGGCTGTATGTTATCATTGAAAGCTCTAAAATGTTTGCCATCACTGCACTATGCTATGTGTTTTATGTCAGTACTCATCTAGTTTGAACACAGTCTTTTAAAAAGAAAACTGAGGCAGTATGATGTTAAGTGACTTGTCAAAGGTCACATAGTCACCAGCAAGGATAAAAGAGCTCCTTTCTAAGACAAACACACCTTAGAATGAACCAAACTTGACTTGGTAGAAAAAAACAACCTCTCCTTTTCTCCTTCTGGCCTCACTTTCCTGGAATTTGGGCCCTGTCTTGGAGGAGAGGGGTCACTTTCTCTTAGTAGTGCCTCCCAAAGAAGAAAAGGCTCCTTCCAACTTGAAGCCACCCTTTACCTGTTTCTGAGTGGCAGCAGGAGGTTCTTCCCTTCAGGAGGGCGCTGGGCTTCTCATGCCTGCAGACGAGAGCACGGCACCACTCACAGTGCTTTCGGACCTGGCAGCAGCTGCAAAGATCCAGAGAAGACCGTCTGAGCTGGAGTGGGGCAGGAGTGTCTTGCAGTAGGTCCTGGCTGAGCAGCTTTGGTCTCCCAAGCAGCCTTTCCATAGGGACCTCTAAGGTTTGGGGATGAGGGCCTTGCAGAATGGTGGCCCTCTGGGGCACATTCTGGCCACCAACAATAGCACATGTTGGGTGCCCCTAAGTACCAGCATTATTTCTGCTCTGGAGTCAAAGGGTCACCTGGTTCCCGTTTCCCTGGCTCTCAGACGGGACTGGTCACTCACCCACCTGCTTTCTCCAAAAAGAACCAGTTAAGAAACTCCATAAATGCAGGAATAGCCTCATAACAACCATGAGGACTGGGGCTAAGCAGCCCCCTCTGGTTGGTGGGGCTGTAAGAATTCAGGAGTTCATTCATCAGGTACTGGCTGCTGCAGAGCAGGAAACTTGGATGTGCTGAGTTGATTCACACAAGAATGAGTCATAGATTACAAAGGCTTTGAATCCTGCTTTGAGGACTAAATTGTAGTTTTGGAAATCCAACCTCTTTGTAATCCTGTTGCTTGGAGTTGGGCAGCAACAGGGTTAAGAGGACTCCTGACTTGCTCTGTAGGCAGCAGTGAGGAGTTTTCAGTTAGGAAAAACAACCACTGAATCCAAAAGAAGAAGAGAGACATTAACCACCTAGAGACAACAGCAGCTGATATCAGAAAAGAGCTCATTCCCATTCATTTAAACCTTAACATATATACAATCTATGCATCCATGAACTGGGGCTGGGAGAAGTTTTGTAGCTGACACGAGGCCAAAGACAGATAAGGAAACAAGCCAGGGGCTGAGCCTCTCTTAGTGCTAGTTAGTATTTCACGGTCTCTACCCTAGCCTCTCCTTTTCTGCCCTGCACTGGCATATGAAGCCTGCAAAGTTACTAAGCCTTTGAATCTTTGGGCAGCAGTGCTGAGGAGGGGCCCTGAAATCTTCTGGCCTAACTTGCTCAGTCACAGGTGGGAAATGAGAGGCTAGAAAAGTCAGTCTGCTAGGACTTGGGGTCCTCCTAAGTCATAGAGTCTGGGCTGGGATCAGCTCATTGCATACCAGAAGAATCTAAAGATCTTAATTCCAGACCCATCAATAACATTTTCTTGTAGCCAGCTAGCCAGATAGGCATCCCCTGGTCACTTCCCAGCCAGGAGTGTCTCAGGACATTGGAATCAACGCCTCTAGATCTCTCTAGCATGGGAGGTGCTGGTGCCATCCTTGACTGTGCAACTCAGCTGGGCCCCATGCCCAGCAACCAGCAGCCTAAAGAGACTTAGTCTCTGGCAGGGGCAGGCTGGGAAGGGAAAAAGGAGAGGTGAGACTGCCTGCCTCCCTGGGAATGGGAGATGGTGTCCAGGCATCTAGATTGTCCCTGCCAAATTAGCTTTCAAGTCCCTTTGAGGAGGTCTAACTGGGCGTCTAGCCTTGTCCCCAAGTGTCTGGGACCCTCTTGGCTGTGGAAACAGTGCTATAGAAGTGCCAGGTGAGTACATTCAGTTAGCTGGCCATGGTAAAATAAGTGAGGCCAGTGGGCTGCTAGGTGGCTTCTCCTCTCCCAGGGAAGGTCTCTGTGAGGGGCAGGGCCTGGACTGTGTCCCATCCTGAGCCAAAACTGCTTTTCCATTTCCTGAAAACATGCTTTCCCAAGGTACCTGCAAGTGGAGTGGAACCCAATTAGGGAGGAAGGAAAGGTTTGCCCAGTTTAGAGTTCATTCCTTTCCACTTAGTGCTAGCTTGGTCCAGGAGAAGAAGTTGAGAAGGCTGTGGCTACTGCTACAAGCTAGGGCTCTCAGGGGCACTTCATTTTTTGTCAGAACCAGGGACACGTGCTTTAGATGTCCCAATAACAGTGGACCACCAAACCAACAGGATAGAGTCTCTTATTTGTCTGTGTGAACCTAGACAACCCTAGAGGGCTAAAGCCTGGATTCCTGTGTTAGCATATAACTGCTTACTGTAGCCATCCACGTATTGTCTCTACTGTGAGTCAATCTGCACTGAGCTGACCGGTGGCCTTGAACTGACCTATGGATTCCTTGTGCCTGTCCAATTAGGTATAAATCCTCTGAGAATTTGTTCTGTGACTTGGGCCGTAGATATTTCCAGGTAGTAAATCCAGTCTAGTGCCAGGTGCTAGGAACACAACATGGATTTGAGAAACTCTGACACTGCAGAGCATTGATATATAGGTTAAGATGGAAATGGGGCTAAGACATTCTTGAGAAGGTCTCTCTTGGTTTAAGGCTCAGAACAGCTTCCTGGAGGATACAACGCAGGAGCTGGATTTTGGAGGATGAAGAGGGGCAGAGTGGGAGAGAAAGAAGAAAGTCCATGCAGAGTGGTGCTTGTCAGCCTGTAATAACATCAGCAGTAGTCTTTGATGTGGCTTTAGAATTTACAAAGTTCCTCCTGCAAAAAAAAGTGATTCTGATGCTGTCCAAAAGAGGCTGGGAGCTGTTTCCAGTTCCCTTGGGAGCAGCAGTCCATTCATCACTACTTTGAAGCCTCTAAGCCTAACTGTGGAGAGGGAGGATGCCTTTGGTTTGACACTGGTTTTCAGTAGCACACAGACCATTGCTGGCAACCTGTCCAGGGTGTTCTAGATATTGACCCAGCTTGGCTGCCACACTATGCCAAAAGTCATCAAATTTCTCTTAGCTTTGCTGACACCACTCAGACTTCACAGCAATCAGCCTTGCTGAGGGGGGCTCTGGTATGTGGCCAAGCTGCAGTTGTCCCTGCTGGGGCAGGCAGGCAGAGCATTTGACCTGAGGTCCAGTAAATACTCACTGTATCAGCACACAAGTGATGATGAGGACAGCCAGGGCCACAATGGAGACCACCACCAAGGCAGTGATGGCCTGCTTCTTCTGACTGGCGGCCACCACTGCCAGGAGATCTGCGTGCTCACATCGTGCACCGACGTACCCAGAATGGCAGCTAGGGGAGAAAGGAATGTCAGTGTGCTCCCAACACAAAGTCTTTTCTCTGTTCAGGGAGGGCTAGGCCATAGGGAGCCAGAACTCCCGGGAAAAGCCCAAAGGAGCCCTCCAGCCTTTGCTATGGGAGACAAAAGTGAGTAAAATGATCATCTCCCTTGCCACAGGCACTGCTTGCTAAGAAGAGGGAAACCAATTCTCTTCATTCCCTGGGGATAAACGGTGCTGTGAAGTACTTTGTGATTATTGTTACTCTGCTAAATCTTGGAGGGGGAAGAATAAATGCAGCAAAGGTGTTTGTGACAAGAACTTCATAAAGATCCAGGTTATTTTTAAAGCCAAATGTAGTATATTGAGAATTTCTGATGAGAGAAAGTAAACATGCTAAATTAGTTCAAGACATAGGATATGCTTTTTTATCTTCTTCATCAAGTTTAATTAGTCCTCCAAGTATCCAAGTATGCAGGGAATATCCTAGGTAGGGGGTAATGGGTAGGGAGCCCAGTACCACTACCTTGTCACTATAGGAATGGAATCTTGGTGTCCTCACATTCAACAATACCTCCACTACAGGTTAGTAAGGGCACAAGCAAGGTCATCACCAACATGCATCACCAACGCTGCTACTCTGAGTTTCTATGGTTTCAATCATGATAATACAGCCTGCTGCCATGCACAGTGAGTTTTCACCTGCTGATTCTCCAGGATGTGCCCCAGCCACACTGAAATGTTGGGCATCTCCTTCTACAGGCATCTTCCCCTCAGGCACATGATTTTTCTCAGTAGAAGATAGTTGGCTTACCCACTGGTTCCTTCTTATTGTGAATGAAAATATTTGATTGCCACTTTTGGAGACTTCCTTGAGGGGCAGCCCCACATTTTAGGCTGGATTTGAAGTTTGGTCTCTCCTCCAAATTGGTAATGATAGCTAAACTTTTTTCTTTAAAGATTCTACCTTTTGATTAGCCAACTATAACTTTCACTTATAGATTAAAAGGCCTCTGAACAACAAGGAAAACTAAAACTAAAAGGGAATGAATAGTCCTGAGGCACCTGCCATTGTGCCAGGCTGGCCCCAGGACCATTATACTTGTGTTACTACTAGACCTGTCCTCCTGGATCACTGGGCATGGAGGTAAGAAAAGTGCTTGAAGCCACTTGATAAACATGGTCTATTTTCTTGGAGCACAGATTTTGTCCAATGTCAACAAAAATTTAAGTATTTTAATGTTGAAGGATTAGATACTTACAGATTTAAGGTTTATGGCAAACAGGAGAGGCTGAAAAAGCTGACGCTGAAGGTCACAGACTAGGATATAAGGTGTACAAGCTTTTCCTACCTTATTTAAATTTAATTGTTATTTTAAATTCAGGTATTTGTTCTTTGGTTAAGGGTTTTATATTTAACATATGTTTTCTCATTTAGTCATTACATGAAAAAATCAAGTCACTGTCTGTCTTGCACCTGTCCTTCTAGGGACTCCAAAGGGTTTGTACCAGGTTTGCTGAGTCTGGACTGGCTCCCACTTACCAGACTGCTGTGGCTACATGGTAGATCAAGCCTGGGCTGGGAGCTTAAAAAGCAAACTCTTTATCGAATCTGGCTTTTGGTTTAGCCTCTAATCTTGAAAGGGTAAAGACATTTGAGAGTTTTAATTGAGCAAGGTACAAAGGGTATATAGTCTTTGGTAAGTAAGGAAGTTGAGAGGGCCCAACTGGGATGGAAAAATGCCCTGTATGGCTCTCTACAGAATGGGGACATGGAGAGTGGGCCCTGGACTATGAAGGGCCAAAGTGGAAAGTGGAGGGGAGATCTCTAGTAGAAGGCCTCTCCTGAAGAAGAATTTGGATCACTGACATCTGAATAAGAACACTGACTCACAGCTAAGGACAATGAGACAGGGGCAGGTGTGCATTTGTTTTTATTTACCCCACAGTTCTGGGGATTGTACCCAGGGAGTGCTGAGCTGCTTTCCAGTCCTTTTTAAAAACTTTTAAAATACTGATACAGGGTCTAAGTTGCCCAAGCTGGCCTCAAACTTGTAATCTTCCTACTGCAGCCTCCTAAGTGGCTAGGATTACAAGTGTGTGCCCCATTTGTGTTGTTTTGTCTGGTTTAATTTTAATAAAATTACTCAAAGGCAGAAGTGGAGAAACAGCTCACCTAGGTGGCACTGGCCCTTTCCCTCTCAGGGGAAAGTGACAGCAGACCCGACTCAAGGCAGGGAGATGATCACCAGTTGGCCCAGGCATGCAGACATCTAAGCTGTCAATGTCTAAAGAACACTGGGCAAAGCGTCCCTCCTCCAGCCCATCCCCAAGGTTTTACCCTACACTGACTACACTCTACCTTCCAAAGGGGTGCCTGAGTTGTGGGCTTCCTCTGCATGATGTTTGACATACCCTCCCTTCAGGGTCCTAATCTACCCTCTCTGCTTTATCCCCGACCACTTACATTTCCAGTGGTCCAAGTTATGTCACTCATGCCCCACAAGTCCAGTATTAAACCCCAGTATTGTAAACGAGTACAGTGCCCAGCATGTAGGTACTCAGGACGGAATGAATGAGGAGCTGCCTGCCATGTGTCCACTCTTAGCTCCTATTTTCTTCTCTGACTTACTGCCCTCAGATTCCACTTCAAAGACCATATTCTCTAAAAATGTGTACTTTACACACTCATTTATTTATCCAGTTACCCATCCATCCATTTTTCCATAGCTCCTTCAATGGCTTTCCCCTGTCCTCCTTTGAACCTCCACATGACCATGTTCGTCCCCTCTCTTCCCACCCTCTTTGCTCCTTCCTGCAGGGCAAGGCCTGGTTCTATAAAATATCCTCCTTCTCAGTTACTCTTTACTGGGAGGAAAGAAAAAGTGTTCGGTGAAGCCTTTCTTTAAAAAACTTCCCAAGCTTCCACTAATATTAGATTTAATGATTATTTTAGGCACAAGTCACCCAAAGAGGAAGAAGAGCCACTTTGCCTGGTTATAAATGAGTCACATATGACTCAGGTGCTGTCCTTTCCCTCAGTCAGGCACTAGTTTCTACCCAGCTGCACATAGAATCATTCGGGAAGCTCTGGAAACAGCCAGGCCCACGACTACACCCCTGGACATGCTCATCTAATTGGTCTGGGCACCAGGTGCTTGTAGCAGGCAGCTGGGCCTGAGAGCCATGGGCGTAGAACTATTATCCAAATGCGCAGAACCAAGAGCCAACAAGTCACAAATCTGCTGGTTCCTCTTTCTCCTTCCCCACCTCAATATTTTCCCATGGTGGTGGTTATAAAATAGGTCCTACATATCAGATGCTAGAGAAATGGGAGATGTTGCTCTCCCTCAATTTAAGAAAGGAATCTGAGCAAATAGCAGTCACTCCATCACAAAGGGGAATGGGAGCTATGTTACTGAACATTTTCATATATCACTTGACCATTCCATTTCATGTCTAGAGTGGATTTGAGAGCCAGTGACAGCTGTTGGTCTAACACAAGGGTCTGCAATGCTGTCTTGTCTTTATAATTCTGAAACTGAGGCTTCCGAACCACATTCGGGTTGATGCCCCACAATAAGAATGATAAGAAACAAGTACAAGAGGAAGAAAAGAAAGAACACAGCCAAAGAAGGATCAGGAGTTGCAAAAGGACCCATGGAGGCTTGGGATAAAGGGCAAGTGCTTCAGCCATTGGGTCCCTGAGGCGTTTTTCATTTTTGTTGCTGATTAAGTCTGAAGGTTGCTTTGGTGCTGTTCTTAGGAGCAAACATTGTGGCTGTGGGCCTATTTTAACATTAAAAATTCAACTGCCTGTGAGATGCTTTCTCTTCTCTTGAGAGGTTTCAGGTCTTCCCTCAGCCCCCACTTCACTTGGCTCATGGTACCCTTTTCAAATATTGAGAAATATAGTAATGCATGTAGAGCTGTATTCTGAACTTTTATTTTTAAGACAAATTTTCTCCAACTAGAAAATGAATGTTTCTAAGCAAATTAGAAAGTATGTATGTGAGAAAGAAAAAGAAAAACGAAGAAAGCTCATATCATTGTACACCAACCCCAAGTGGCAGTCCAAACACTTTCCCTTCCATACCATTTCTATTTAGTTTTAAACATAATTATTTTTACAATTTTATACCAACTTCTCATATAAGATCTCTTCACTATTTTATTATCACATTAAAAACTCTGCAAAAGTCATTTTAAGCAGTTGCACAATAATTTATGTACTACAGTTGCTTTACCAAATTCTTACCATTTAGATCATAACCAGTTGAGGTATAAGTAATGTCAAGTAGGATGTGAGGGCGATCTGGCTGCGACATCTGTCACCCCACTGATCGCCAGGGTGGATTCGGCTGATCTGGCTGGCCAGGCAGGTGTCCCCTTCCTCCCTCACCACTCCATGTACGTCCCTCCCGAAGCTGCGCGCTCGGTCGAAGAGGACGACCACCCCCGATAGAGGAGGACCGTTTCCTCGGTCAAGGGTATACGAGTAGCTGCGCTCCCCTGCTAGAACCTCCAAACAAGCTCTCAAGGAATGCCAAGTATTAACTTTGTGCACATATCTTTATTTGTATTTGAGATTATGTCCCAAGGACAGACTCTCAAAGGTAGGGACAACATGGCACAGACTCTGTAGCCAGAATGTCATGGGTTCCTAGCCCTTTCTCTACTTTCTGCCTGTATGGCCTTTGAGCATGTTACTTAACTTCTCTGTGCCACAGAGTCTGCATCTTTAAAATGCAATAATAATAAGGCCTACCTCATAAAGTATTAAATGAGCATTAAATGAGTTAGTATCTTACACAGGGCAATAAGCAGCACCTGACACAAAGAAGGGCTTTGTAAGTGCTAAAAATGTAGAGAAAAGGATGGGAATATTTTTAGTGCTCTTGAAATGTTATCTTTATTTGCACTGATGTACTGTTAGGCTGGAGAATAGTACCCCAATTATTAGCTAAGTCTTTTGGCATAGGTTCCAAGCTAAAGTCTTCAATATGACGGTCC